GGCGGTTGTCCTCCATGCGCATAACGAAGCCCGCAAAACACAGCCTCCGTTTGCGCACGGTGGCCTCGATGGTTTCCTCGCAGCCGGCCTGGATGAGGGCCTGGGCGTAGGACAGGGGTCGGTCTGAGCGCTTCCGCTTGCTCCAGCCGATACACCGTGTCAGGAACTGGCGGTGGGTCCCATTCAGCTTGGTGTAGTGCTCCGCTGCCAGGCTCCACGAGGCGAAATACCCGGGATCAACTACCGCTCGCTTACGCACGCGCAGTGAAGACGAGCGTTTCTTGTTACTCTTTTCTTTTTGCTACGCGAACACGGCTTGTCCAATACTCTCGTCGCACACGGTCCGTTTCATGAGTGGCGGCTAGACAGCGCCTCCAATCACATGATTTTTTCAATGTCCAGTCGCTGCGCAGGTACTCCGTACCATCGAACAACGACGACCGATCATCATTCTCAGAAGAGGCGTTTCCCCAATTCTCAGAAAAGGTCTGCGACCTCCGCACTGCTTCAGGAAAACTAAATACAGCCAAGCAGCAACATCGGAAGCAGGAAAGGTTGGATACAATCAGGAGTCTCCACGACTTCCGAAGAGGCCCAAACAGCAACGACAATGGCAGAGATGGTCCAAGAACATGGAATGGTGCCTCATGCCGCCGGAGGTGAGCAACTAGGCACATGGCGGACCACGTTGATCATTGAGGATCATGTCCCACGCCCAGGCTTCCAGGCGTGCACAGAAGCAACTCCCATGTTGAGGCTGGACGGAGATGCCCCTAGAGTTGCCTGCAGAACCTACGCTGTGGTCTTTCTCTGGCATGTGATGATATGCCTGCACTTGTCACATTGTGTCTGTGTACCCGATTGTCCGAACCTTGAACCTCGCCTCCTCTTCCCTCTTCTACCGTCTACATGGCGGCTTGTTTTGGTGCGGCGCAATTACAGATGGTCACGCCGCACATACCCGACCTACAGCGCTACACCAGCAAGCAGCAGCAGTCTGAGCAGTAGTGTACCGAGGAGCTTACGTCCTTGCTGTTTCACCCGAATAGCACCTCGCTCCTTCTTTTCCCAAGAAGCTTGTTGGTGCAGCTAGGGCGGGGGTGAGTAACTACTATGTTCATCATGTGAGCAACGGTCCTACAAACCTCCTCTCTTCTCTGTAGTTTGTATGCATAGTCCATGTACCTTGTCTACGTGTACTGCTGCTGTATGTTGTTATGCGTAAGTCAACTTGTAAGCCCCCAACAAAAGTAGCGGTCTGCATATCTGCAGCAGCACTCACTGTTGTTCCATTCTCGACCCGCGGATACACATGCATGGAATTACAACATAAAGAACAGACTGACACATGAATGGGACGACACGTTCTCAAAGGGGTTCCCGTACACAGACGCACTTCCAAACTTCGAAAAGGCCGAAGTCGAGGGGGTTTCATTGATACTGTAGATTTGTAGAGTGGTACAAGGCACCCCTGTGGAGTAGGGTGAAGAGAGTACGGCGGCAAGGGGTGATGCAAGAACATGCAAAAAGCATACAGAGAAAAGGTAGATGTATCCTTACGGAGTACTTTACTTGTACTTGATAGGGGTGGAAATGAGCCGCGGGTGACGACTCAATACCTTGCAGTATTAATAGTCTAGTCATCCACAATGCTGTGCAAGGTGCGAGACACGCTGCTTCCAGGCAGCATCGCAGCAACCCAGAGCACATTCAATTACTTGCAGAATCAAATTCGGACGGATCTTCCAAAACCATGTACCTGCTCCCGTCGGAAGTTTGCTGCACATCGACGGCGGAACACGAACAACACCTGCTCGCTTCTGCTTGAACGCTACCACAACAGTAGTACCGCCAAATGATCGGCACCTAACAGTACTGACACAGACACAAATGGTTACTTACACGAATGCATTTGTAGTGCTGCTACGGCGAAGGAACACGAGCACCACCTAATCGCCTCTGCTACAACGCTACAACAGTAGTACCGCCAAACAATCGGCACCTAACATTACTGACACAGACACAAATGCACAAGGTGGTAACTTACACAAATGCACTTGTAGTGCTGCTGTTGCTGCTGTAATGGCAATGACTTTGTTGTCCTTGCCACAGTTTGACACAGCAGCTAATTTTTTTCCAGGTGACCCCTGCTGCCCATGCACCGACGCAACAACAATGACAAAGGTATCCGCCACGAGTTGTGTACATGCTCCGTCTTGTGTGGTGGAGGCACTGACCAGGAGGCTGTAGTAAGCTCATAATTGGGGGCGCGAGAGTCTGGCATAGCCTGCAAAATATACTCGCGTCTGTCTATCGGCTGGGTTCAGTTTCTGTTTTTCTTGTCCGAGAGTGGTGTACAGCAGTGCCCATGATCCCTTCCCACACACCGAAGCAATGACGATATCATCCGCCACGAGCTTTGTATGTGGCCCCCTTCCCTCGCCAGTGCTTTCTTGCCCCTCGTAGCGGTGTTGCATGTTTAGCTGAGTGCTTCCTCTGTTTGTTCTGGTTTGAACAGAGCAACTGCCGTTGTTGCCTGTGTATTCCTTTTACCTTGTCGTCCAACTCCCGGGAACGACGAGAAACATATCCGATGGTTTTGCGGACAAATGCATGTCAACCACGGCCGGCTGTTGTCGGAGCGCCACGAAACCGGTGTGATGAGACTTTAGCTCGTAAACCGGTGCTCATAGACGTCGTTCTCGTATAAAATAGGCGAGAATTTTGACGTGCCATTTCCCGGGGGGTTTGCGGATTGGTCACTCACGCGATGGTTGAAAGAGCCCGATATTTAGAGCCTTTTTTCCTCCTGAGGATGAAGTGAAAAAATGTCGCGCTTCGCGCTCCGCGGCTCATTTTAATTGCGTGTCGATACACTTCGAAAAGGAGTTTGCACCATTTTTGGGAGCTCGGCGAGCTTTCCTTCGAAATTTTAGAGGTCCTGTAGGAATTTGGCTGCAAAAAATACGAAGTGTTTCAATTTTCTGGATTATGTTGGTTGAAAGCCCTCGTGCCGCGCGCATGCGTAAATTACGTGCGTGCCGACGTCCCGACCTCAGGCTCAGCGGTCTGCACGGAGATGTGTGCATTGCTCTGTGTCTCTGCTGACACGGCCACACGACATACATGGCTCGACTGCTGTTGGAAACTACGTGGTGCTGCGTGCTGCTTCCTTATGTACAATAAATAGTTCAGCGGTGTCGGAATCATGGCCGCCAGTCGTTGAGCGGCATCGTCATCGAGCGGTGTTTTCCTCGAAGCAACAAGCGCGCACACACACACATACACCCTCGAAAGGGTAGCGAAGAACATACCACTACGTATGTATATATGTGCGTTACCAGCGTGCGACCACAGTATCAGGGAGTGACCGTAGCATCATGATGTCTCAGAAATCCCGGTGGAGAGAGGCGAGATGAAGACGGGAGTTCACAATGTTTCCGCCGTATTCCGAACAGAAAAGAAAAAAATAAGAATACGACTCGCATCGATCCTTTGTGTTATTCGTTACAGCAGTAATGTGTGCTCTGCTCTCTCTTCTGACGTTTTTACATGGCCAATAGCTTGTTGGCATGTGCCAGAAACAGCTGTCACCGTTTACATTTTTGGTTACGGCTTTGCACAGCGGTGGTGGTGGTCGTGACGCCTTGTGGCGGGCTGTTCAGGAACCGATCTGTATGATTGCCACACTCTAAACACGATAATGCTTCGGTCACCGCCTTGCTCCACAGTCTCTTGACAGCCGCCGGGCCAACGCTCCGCTGATGTTGGCATGTGCTGACACATGGTTCAACATCAGATCAGAACCAGCTGTTCACCGCGTACGTTTTTGGTTGAAGCCGCCGTCTCCTGTCGGGCTGTTCGACACGACAGGCCACGACTGGCCCGACAGCTCGAGAGAATCAGCGCAATGTCTTCTTACAGCCCAAAGCAATTTCTCCACAGTCCAGAGAAGCTTTTACAAATCCACTTGTTCCTACTGAACAGCTTATGTAGCCTTACGCACCCCCGTATTGTATGGGTTTTAGACTGATGCACGAGCCTAAACAACCAATATAGCTTTAGAACATGGAGCCAATTCTAAAGCCCGATACATGACTAGATAGGGATGGGTATGAGCCACGGGGTAGCCCACTCAATATCTTGCAGTAGTGCATGTATGGTGGCGAGTAGATCGTTTTGAATTTTTGAATCGGAGTCATAAAAAACACGGCTCCTTCCTGGAATGTACGGCCTTTGGCGTATCTGCATACAGCCGAACCGTAGTTAACACAAGATACCATACCCCCTGGATATATTCCAAAGATCGGTTGCTCCAAACGACAAAAAGTGGCGGTGCCGATGATGGTGATGTGGGAGCCGTCTCGTCTAGAGCTCCTGACAACGTCTCGCTGGGTGTACGCATCCCCTTCGATGTGGAGTACTCGAGTTTTAAAAATGGGTTTAGGGGGCGTGCTATCTTACGTCATCTACCGTAGACGTCATACATACGTTCTCCCACCAATGTGGGTTTTCGGTGGTGTCTCTGCACAGAGTGACGCAGCAGCAATTGTAAAGCTCTTCCCCGCGAGCTGTGTGTGTGCGACGTCATGTTTAGCGGCCAATAGAGGACGCGGGACCATCGGACCCACAGGAGCTGAGGTGGCGAGAGTCGCCAAAATGCATCCATGCGGGAAAAACCACCCGTCACACAAAAAAAAGTCCTCTTTGGGACTGAATGGTTTGTTTTCAGGTGACCCCTCCCGACACACCGAAGCAGCAGCATTGACAATGGCATCTACCACGAGCTGTGTGTATGGGTTCCTTCCCCCGCCATTGATGTCTTGCCCCTCCCAGCGGTGTTACGTGTTTAGTTGAGTAATTCCTCTTTTCCAACTGCGTGACTTCGCGTGCGTGGGAGATATCCGTTTTTTTTTGTTCCGGGGAGGATCTTCTATGGTTTTTGGGTACAATTGCCGTTGGGCCATCTGCTGTCGGAGCACGACCAAACCGATGTGGTGAAGGGCGCCCCAATTTTGTTTTGTGCCTCACAAGCCAGCAGATCGTCAATCGGTGCTCTATATACCTCGTGATAGTCGAAAAGGATGGACCTTGTCACCTAAAATCCCAAAAATCAATTGATTTAAAAGACAATACACACATAAAAAATTCAGGTGGTCGTTTGTTGAAACTTGGGCCCGTAGTGGATAGAGGTTGTTTTTTCCCTCCTCGGACGAAGGAAAAGAAAGGTCGCGCAATACTTCGACAAGGTCGAAACACAATCGCGATCTGTACAGTTTGTGTCCCTGCATGCACTCCAAGAGCATCCTTATGACGGGACGGCGCATTCACACCTTCATGGAATCCCGAATCGTGACGTTGGAGGTTTTCCGTTTTATCCCGCTCTGAGGCTGACGTTTTTTCGTTGGTCAGCCTGTGAACGCGATCCTTGCTATCGGTATATTATGATACTTGTATGCATACTTTAACGCAGACCATATCGCGAAATGCTGTACCGGATTGAACCCCTTGATTGACCAATCCCCCTCCCTCGTCACTGTACCATTGCACCAACCCCCCACGAGCAGATGACGTGTCTTTGCTGTCTCGGGTGGTCCGTTTTGCGTTGTCTTCTGCTGTTTTATTTGTTTGTCGCCATGGTAGTGGTTCTGGCGTGTGTCTTTCTCTGTGTTTTTCTCTTTTTTCCCTCTGATTTCTTCTTGTTTTTCTTTTTCGTTTTTTTTTTTTTCCAGTCTATGGTTACCTCGCATAGCGTGTACAGGCGAACGGAGGGTCCTAGATTATCTGTTGTTGATTGCTATTGACTTGCTCCGAGTCTATTTTATGTTCGTGACCTTTTTGGGTAAGTTAGCCTGTGACCACGGGAATCGCATCAAGTTTTAAACTGGAAGGACAGAGAGAACGGAACGGTTTTTCATGTGAAGACAACAACAACAACAACAACAACAAATTACAACCACCTGCCGGAACGACACTTCAAAGAATGTAGTCGAGTGGAACCGAAAGTGTGAAATCAACATGCGTGGATGCTGCGTAGGATGGTATTAGCGACACATGAGCGGCTAGGGTGCTATAGGTGGGCAACTTGTATCGAATCTATACATAGTCTAGACTACGTAGTAGCATCTGGAACCGTTGTCTTCGCTTCCCTCTCATCACCTCTCTGTTTCTCTCCCGCCATGGTTCCAACTGTCTTGGGGTGGGCTTTCAGGGAATCCCGCGGAGGAGACCTCCAAGCAAGGCGACAAGGACACGGAGGAGTATGTACGACCGTCGACCACGACGAAACTCGAGGTGCGTGTTCCGAGCCTCATGTTTCCCCTTTTGTCAGCTGCTCGTGCAGGCTCGAGTGGACCCACACGATTGAGCGCACACTATCACAAACGTTTAATATCAACTGGAACAAGCTATTGTACAGGCTTCGAGTCGATCGCGTTGTCTTTCCTGTGTGCCATGTCCAGCACCTTGGTTGTAGGGTGTGTTGACCGAACGGGGCATCCCGTTTCTCTTCACAGGATTCGTCTGGTTTTGAATTGCTGCCGGGTTGTGTTGTCCTCGACCCACCCACGCCCTCGGTGTTGAGTACGCCCCCGTGGATACCCCCAGCAAATACTTGAAATAACTAAATAGCTGCGGAGGAGTTACATTTCTCAAGTGTTGATCATCGGCGGAGAACTTGTTTCCGTCGATTATCGGGGCGATGATCTTGAAGGGGGGCTTGCCCGGGACCGACACAAGCGAGTAGCGAGCAGTAATAGACTTCCTTCACGAGTTCGGTCAGGCTACTAAGCGCGAACACAGAAGGATTTCTCAACCTGTTTCGGTTCTCTGGAAAGTGCTTGCCGGGTCCCCGCTACAGTGCCAATGAATCTGGCGCGCATACACCGGCACTACTTCGGGATTCCCACTGCTGTCTTGCATAGTTTTTAGCCAAAACAATCGCCTTCGTGAGTCTGTCAGGTGCCAGAGGGGGGTGAGATGCTCAAAGACGGTACAGTGCGGATCAACGTTTGGGCCAGCCCGCGCTCGCTGAGCACAGCTCTGATGTACTCGTTCGCACAGGTATTTATTCTGTGAAAATTAATTGTTGCTTTTTGTTCCTGTAGCACTCTCCCACGTGGTCCTTTGCACAGGCGCTAGATAGATCCGCGAGTGCGCCGTGTCCCTGGTGTGGTCGATGACGCGGGAGCGCAATGTGTGGTGAAAGACGAGGTTTATTTCTTCGTCTTTTCTTTTCTTTTCTTTTGGACATTCCCATGGGCGTGTAGCGATGTTTCGGTTGGTGTCTGTTTCGTACGAGGGCCGCATGAACCAACCGGCGAGGAGAGGCAGGGTGAATCAAGGCGACATGAAACAGCAACGAGTGCTTTGCTTGTGTGTTGAACTCCAGGGGAGACGAGACCAGCTGTGCCGTCCCGGACTAATGGGTTTCGCTGTCGCTGTGTCCCTTTGACTCTATTTCGTTTTCTTCCGTGACAACTGCCCATACCGACGCAGAGGCCGGACTGTGTTGTTTACGACGAGCCTTTGTACGCACACTTCCTTCGGACGCACCCGGAGGACGAGACATGGCGGCCCTACCGAGATGAGGTCTTCAGAGAACAGGCACGTGCATGGGTTACAGCTTGTTTGGGAGTCTCATTTGGGACCGGGCTAGTCCGAAAGGCTTCGAAGTAGTGCGTGGAATAAGCAATTTTTTTTCTTTTGTCGTGGTAGCGGTAGTATACCCCCTACGGCTCCTACGGAGTTGCAGTGGTATATCGTTGGAGACCTACTGGCAATGCTGTTTCTTGTGTTGGTTCCGCAAGCCGAAGTAGGAGAAGAATGGAGACGAAGAAGGGCGGCGGGAGGACAAGTTGAGGGAAGCAGCAGCGTAGAAGTACACGGTGTCAGTGTATGCCAGACAAGCCGCCAAGCGTTCTACCTACCAGCACCTGTCATGTCCATGGAATGTTAACCGATCACACATTTAGCAGTAAGCAGCTATCCAAGCAAGTTCAACCCTCGAGATACAGTTTCAACGAGAGGTGCTGCAAAAAAATCATCACAATCTTACATTGCATAGAGTTTTGTGGCGTCTGGCCACACCTTCCACCCCCCCTGCCACCTCGCAATGAAGTATGCTATTTGTTTGCTCCCTGTCTACGCCTCCCTTCGTTCGCAATTCATTACGCTTAGGATTCCGACGGCGACCGATGGATCAAGGAGGTGGCGCTAGGCCCGACGCCCAAGCCGGTCGTCTACATGAAGCACATGGCCAAGCAGGTTTGAGACGGCGCTAGTTTCGAATGTGCTGGGGGGGCCATAGTCGCGATCCCTTCATTTAGACCGTTATGTTGAACTCAGTCACCTATCGCTGTGAACCCAAGACATTTTTTGTTTCTTCGATATACGAAGGCCCACAAATATGAATGGTCCCCTCATACCTCTTCCCTCTACTGGTATGATACTCCTCATGGTTGGAATGCTTGATGATTTCGCTGCCGTTTCTTCTTTCGCAAACGTTCGCACCCAAGCGGTGTGTTGCGCGACTCCACCCTCTCTCCTTGTTGGGCTCCAGGATCCTTGCTCAATGCACAATACGTTTGCTTGGGAATTGTTTCCCATTCGGGACACAACGCAGATGAGGAACCTGGATCTCTCCTTCCTGCCCAAATGCCGAAACATCATCCAGATCAGGACCCCGATCCACATGCTTCCCTCCTGGAACACTAACATCCACGCGAACCTAAAGGAGGTAAGATGTGCTGCGCCCCTGGCCCCTCTCTCCCTTCCGCATGAGCGATACACGCAGAGAAGGTCGTCAGTCTATGTCCCAGGGGACACATTCCGCACTTCGTGCTGATGAAGCTCTCTTGGCGAGGAAATTCGTGAGCGAACTATGAATGTTTCATGACGCAGAGCGGCAAGGAATGCGCTCCTCGTCAGTAACTCCCAAACGTTTTTCTGCGTGCCGACGATCACGAAGGTTGTGCCTCGAAAAGGACGCGTTGTGCGGCAACTCTATGCAGCAACCAGTAGTTTCGCCCCTCCCGTCCCCTCAAGTAACGCACGACTATTCGCGTTTCCTCATCATTCGTGCATTCTTAGTCGGAACATGCTGTACCCATATTTGGCGGCGTATTGTGCGTATCTTTGCTCACAACTACGGTGGGTATCACTGCTTCTTACTATTTGCGCCGCATGTTGGTTTTGTCTCTCTTTGTTTTCGTTGTTCCCTCTCCCTTGGGGTGTTGGTCTTATTCAGATCGGCATGCTGGATCTTTTGCACATGTACTCTCTGGTACGCGCCATGGGTCAGGTGAGATTTATGCAATTGTCAATTGTTTTTTGGGTTTTGTCTTAGTTGCGTGCTTAGTCGTGTGTCCTCTTCCCAGAGTGGGTGCCGACACCAGCCGCATTCTTGCGCTCAGGCCAGTTGCAAGAGGCGGCTCTTCCTGGTATAGTCTTGGCCTGTGGACTTGCATACCTCTATCGGAATCTGATCCCCCTTATGTTTTTCCCACCTTTAAGAACACGGCTTTTCCCCTGTGGTCCAATCAACGAGTTGGTGAGTGGTAAACGGGAGGCGTATGCAAAATATTGCTTGCTGGTTTTCAAGCACTCATCCTCGAAAAATGCTTGGTCAGGGACATTCAATTTTATGCTTCATGGGTGGAATCAAAATTACTGTGTGGTGCGTTTCGTCGCACCTTGAACCGGAAAATATACATCCTTGTGACCCTGCGAAGTCATGGCTAGTTTTGTTTACCCAATCCTTCATTGAGAACGAGCGGAATGGAGTGAGAAGGTGTTCGTTATTGTCGTTCCCAGGGCCTCTACACGGGAAATCCGCAATATGGTACCACGTATGTGCCGAAGGACCCGTCACCACCCCTCGGCAACGTTTCATGCAACCCCTACCTAAACCTCGCGTACCCGTGGAACACCTTACGGACCCCCCCAAGCCTCGTTGTTAACGATAAGCTGATTTTCGTGTACATATGTGCTTGTGACCCGACCCTTCCCTGCAACCATACGAGGCTGTTAATATTCGTTCCACCCGTTTTGCTCTTCCCGGCACAACTCTCTCTTGTCGATAGGAACCAATAGTGATCGACGCCGAGCTGCTTCGTGCCAACCCAGAGGGTGTGTTGCGGGAGGTGTCGGAAATGGCTGGTATCCCCTACGCCCCAGAACAGCTGAGCTGGGAGGCTGGTCCCAAGCCCTACGACGGCTGCTGGGCATACGTCTGGTGAGGACACTGATTTGGTGCAAACAGCGCTCTCACAGGGAACGTGTTAAAAAAGCATCGGCAACAAACCTAATGGGATAGGGGTTATCGTGAACCAGACTGGTGCGTGGCTGCGGCTGCACAGGGTGTGCTTCGGAGCTACGAGCCACTCGTGTACGGTACGTGTGGGGGAAGGCGACAAAAGGTTGAACGTACTCTTCGCTGGCTCGAATTATTCGTGCCTCATACATAAGGGTTTGGTTGTGTTGGGTTTTGTGCCTGCCATACTCAGGTACAAGGGGTGCAGAAAGTCGACGTGCTTTGACAACTCCCCGCGCTACGTCAAGTTCGACCAGAACCTGGCGCCGCTCCTGGAGGTGAGCAGGGCATACTCCGGCAGGCCACGCAACGATTGAGCGCCTTTGCGCGACTCTTGCCTACATGGTGTTTTTCATTGTTGCGACTTACTACACCAATATGATTGAGAAGGTCGCGGGCTGCCTGTCGTCTTGTATCCCCATGGGTCTGGGGGGGGGGGTGTCACGACGCGGTTGTACGCCTTCGTCCAATATGAGCACTCGTTTCTGATATGTTTGTAAGAGTGTGATGCATTGAAGGGGAGCAGAAGAGAGTCGTTGTAGTTTCATCACCTCTCGGATAAAAACAATTGCCGCGCGTTTTTGTCTTTCCCGATTTTTTTTTTGTAGTATGTCCTGTGATTGTCGTTCCTGGATTCTGGTCGCGTTGCATCGAAACTCAAACAGGAGTGCATGCCTATCTACCAGCTCCTGAGATCCAAGGCCATCACGGGATTCGGCAAGCTCGGCAAGGTCAGAATGTCCTTCAAGACTGTTTTGCTTTTTCTAGAAGTGACTTTCCTAATTTTCTTTTCAATGCATCATCTCATCCTCCCGACAGTTTCCTTTCGTTCCCGCGTGTCCTTCCCCTCTCGCCGCCCACCATCGTGTTCTCGACTAGCCTCGTTGTGTTTGTTTCCGAGTGACCATTTCTGTATTTTCGACGTCATGTCATCCACCACTCCTGTTGTTGGTTTGGAATGGCTTTTCCTTCCCGTTATTGCACTCAAATATTGACGGAGACAAGTGATATCCTTGGCACTCGCCATTTAATGTCGACTTGCACTGCGTATGGAAGTTTTACCGGAAGATTTTGGCTGGATGTGTTTTCGCCAGAAGCTTCTCTTGACTCCGAAAAATGAATCCAACCATGCTAGGTGCAACGCCCCCTGCCGGCAGAGGCAGACAGTGCCGCAAGGGACGCGAAGGCAGAGGGTGCAGCTGCGGTCAACGAGGGCATCCTGGTGTGGGTTGGAGGAGGGCTTGTTCCACGTGATATGGCGAAGGTATTGTGCGCCGTTCGGTGTATGCGTGCACGGGGTGAATGTTGAAATCCTTTCTGTGTCCCGTTGGTTGCCTTTATTCTCTTTGGTCGTGTTTCGTGTGTGGCGGTGGTGGTTGTGGGACTGCTGAACGGGGATGGAGATGGCAGTGCTCGTTTTGGCCCAATCTTAAATCATTTTCTGAGCACCAGTCGTTGCCTATATTCTTCGAATATCTACTAACGTCGCTTGCAATTGCATGTGTGCGGGGTACATTTTGTCGAGTGTCATGTTGTCCTGTGGGGAGATGGGTCTATTCATTTGTCGTTTCACCTTTATGCGGTCGTCCTAGAACGTTTTGCTTCTTGTTAATGTAGCTTCTCACTATGTCCTGATGATGGCCAAAATAGCCAGCGTGGTGAATTCACATTCACGTGTACTTCTTTTCCTCTCCTCGTTCTTGGAGTGGCCGTTTCCTTATTCAATTATTGCGTCGAACACCTTTTGAGGCGGTATTTCCAAATGTCCGACGGGCCCTTTTCGCTTGTGTTTGGTTGGAACAAACCGATACTGCAAGACGCCCGCTCACTTTCACACAATTCAAGCAAGGCGTGGCAGGTTGTGCGCGTGTCTGCTCTGGTGGCATCGTTGGTGTGGACAGCCTTCCTTTTATCCGTCTTCGGGAGGATCGATCCAACTGCAGTGCTGTTTCTACATTTTTTGCTTCCAAGCAATCTATGGACTACTTGGCTCTTTGTGTCGTAGATGCGTTTGTTATGATGCATTCGTGGAAACGGATCCGAATGATTGATCAAGATGCGAAGCAATGGTGACAAAGGTTAAGGACGGGAATACGCCCCGATGACTGGTTGTTCTGCGGTCCTTCCTCCTCGTTTCGCTGTCATTGCCTGCACATGCCTAGGTGTCTGTGTTTGACTCGTCGGTGCAAGGGGGTGACGCCGTGTGGGAGGGTATTCGGGTGTACCGGGGAAAGATATTCTGCCTTGACAGGTGCGAAAATGTCTTTTTTTTCGCGTTGCCACACGGTGTGCCACACCGTACGCGAAACGGTCGGTCCGGGAAAAGACAGTGCGAAACGTCGGTCGGGGAAAGGACATCAGTGTCTAAGAGTGTGGGGTTGGGTACGTGTGACGGCGACACACTACCTACGTTGTAGTAGCAGGGTTTACCATGCATTCTATTGGTGAATCGTTTCTGATTGTCAAAGTAAATATAGGGCATTGATTGGCTGAGACACCTCGCTTCTAGCGCAACCCCGCCAAGGCTTTCAACAAAACTGAACAGTAGAAGGCAGTATCACCCTGTGGCCTCCTTGTCGAATCCACTCATTCACCAACTGCATACAAAGTGGACAACTGTTGCGCTCGGCATTTCGTTGTTGGTAGAATTTGGGTGGTCAGCGAGAATCAGCTTGTAAAACGAAGGAGCCTCCCATCCGCTGTCTATTTGGTATAGTTTAGGTTAGTGTTCTTGCTGAACTGCTCTGTATATTTCGGGTCTTCCCCTCGCTCAACATTTATTACAGCTTGAAGCCTGTTTGGCGGTGCCTTTGCGCCAGTCTAGTTTGCGCCATCTCCAACGCCCCAAATTGACCTTTTTGAGCGCTGGAGAGAAGCTCGCTTTGGTGGCATTCGTAGCTTTGGTAGCAACACGGTACACGAAGAACAAGAGAAGCAACATCCCCTTGTACAAGAATTTGCGTTCGTGGTTGCATGAAGGTCAGGTCAGAAACTCCTGCCTTCGCCCTGGTTTGCTTTCTTTCATGCCGCAGGCACCTGAGACGCCTGCAAGATTCCGCCCACGCCCTCGCCTTCGAGGCGATCCCGTCTTCCAAAGACATCACTGTGGCCATTATGGCCACCCTTGCCGCTAACCATATGGTGGACGGGGCCCACGCAAGGGTGACGCTGACCAGGGGTACCAAGACCACGTCCAGCATGAACCCCGACTTCAACGTCTTTGGGTGAGCGGACTTGGGTCGTAAAGGGTTTTCCACAAAATTCATCCCGATTCGGACTACCCTGGTGGAATGGTAGCTCAGTCACGTGCCAACACCATGCGCACCATCGGTTTTCTCTACCCTTTCGCTGGGACAACAGTGGTTGGCTCCAAGATCTAAATCGGAGTGTGAAAGTGACGGTTTTCCTTTGATAGGCAATCTGTCTCTTCCCGTCCACGGGCGTGAAACAAGGCTCGCTCAATCTCTAGGTAAAATCTGGTCTGTGTGTGTGTTCATTCCTCATTTTGAGCGGACGGCATTTGCGCTGTGCCCGGGCCCAGCTCCGAGCGAAACTATGAGCCGCATGTTGACAGTCGCGGTGAAGAATGAGACAGCAGGGGGGAGCGGTACCGTGCGAGAGACACCAACAGCTTGCAAGATCGGCCATGTATATGAAATTCAACAAGGACGACACACTGCCAAGCCACCTACGAGAGCTTTCACATATCGCCAAATGGTGCTCAATGTTGGACCTTTTTCGTTTTTCTTTGGCGCAGGAGATGGATATTCTGACTTGCCCCACCTCATGTGTCATGCCCAGGTGCACCCTGATTGTTCTAGCCGAGAGGAAAGAGGTCGGCGGAGCGGCAACGTACGACAACGACCTCGGCGTAACTCTGGTCACCGCCTCCAATAGACGAAACCCTCCACAATGCCTCGATTCCGCTATCCACCACAACAACCTCCTCAACAACATATTGGTGAGCGCTGCTACTCCTTCTCGAACCCGTTCGCGCCTTTGCTGCTTGTTTCGGGCAATCATTACCGAAATATTCGGGTGGTTGTTGTCGCCTTTGCTCTGGGCATCTGATATTCCCTGGGATTTCCAGACGAACGATCAGCACAGGCCCTGAGCGCCATATATCCTAAGGCACAAATCCCCCAGTCATAGCGCCACGGGGTCATGTTTCCGAAAATCTCTTTCAGAATCTACGTGTTTGATAACCTTGTTTACCAACGTCGATAAAGGGTACATGCTCAGCTGATGCGCGAATGCGCACCCTTACCGAGGCTATAGGCGCTCCCTCCTGTAGCGTATTTTCCCTTTGTTTATTGGTGTATTTTACTTTCCTTTGTTTGCCCCCGTCGGTTCATTTCCGTATTCATTTCATCATTTTTTTTTACGAAGCCCAAGATCCAGGCTAACAACGCCGGGGCCGCCGACGCGGTCATGCTGGACGTCGAGGGCTTCGTTTCCGAGACGAACGCAACCAATATCTTCATGGCCAAGGGGGGGAAGCTCGTGACACCGGCCGCCGGCAGCTGTCTGCCGGGTATCACGAGGTGCGGGGCCACTCTATGCTTTGGCCAATAGCCTCCCATTCATTGCCGTGCGCTGCGTTTGTATGCGTAGCTCCATGGGTATCAGTGGTGTGGTCGGGAAAGCTCGTCAAAAGTGCCAGTTGTTGCATCACCAAGCGCGTTCGTGCCAAGGGGGCATAAGACACTCACCTCAACAAAAATCGTTTCTTCTTCAAAGTTTCAAAATGCAACGGTACTCGTGCCGGTGATGGCCGTTGTCTTGCGCAGTTTACCGAGACGAGCATCCTTGCCACCGAAATATTGCGAGAGAGAGAGACAGACAGACAGCCAGACAGAGAGAGAGAGAGAGAGAGAGAGAGAGAGAGAGAGAGAGAGA